CAGCGAAGCATGTGAGTGAAGGACATTACAAGTACAGCTGCCGGCATTTGGATGTACGGCAATCGACGCCATCTGGATGGTTTGGCCAGGGGTGACGACGATGATGCCGATGCCTTGAAGTAACACGTACAGGATATAGCAAGGCCCTGATATACAGCCAAGTCAAGGTACGCAGCAATAATATCTGGTGCGACCTCCCAAGCATGAACGATGCCGTTCCAGTGCGAGGATCCTGAAGCAGAGATGGGCGATGCAGGTGCAAACACAGATGATGGCACTTCGGATGGAAAATGTAGGTGCGAGAAGCAGTAGCGGCAGCATCCTTTTCAATATCCCAGTCTCCCGATTCGCCGTCGCCATCACGACCGTCCATCTGCATACATATACTACAGCCATCCTCATACATACATACATACATACATACAACGACAAGCCCGGTTGCCATGCGACCTGCGCATGTCCGTCACGGCTATCCGAGCAGCATCCCGCCTGCAGCGGTAAACAAGAAGACGCAGCTCTGCTACTGGGTGTTGAGCCTGCATGATGCATGCATGCGCGATCGTTGGGCACTGGCGATTGAGGGCCCGAATGGATCGAAAAGTGTTGTTGTTTTGATGTTGTTGCGGAGTCTTTGATGCTTACCTACCTACTTACGATGGAGATGCAGGCATCACGAACTGCCTCATGACCAGTTGCGGTACCCACGACAACAAGACGATTTGCGATATCAGGCACACACAAAGGTGTCATTGAAGCCGACATCAGACAGAGCTGCAGATTTTTCGCATGTACACGTGCTGGATGCCGGCCGGGAGAATCAGGAACGGAGTGCCCCCCAGGACTCGAGTGGAATCCGGCAAGATGTCTCGCCTTGTCCAGCCACAATCACGAGGTTGCGAAGCCGCGTGCGTGCCCGGCAATTCTGCGTTTCAAACTCTACAGCTCCCTGGGACTTACATACTACTAGGCAGTCTCTTCAGCCCTTTTTCTCGTCTTCCCTCGCAAGACTGCTGCTGCTGCTGCCCTTTTGACTCTGATTCCCCTTTGGCTTTATCTAGTCTCCCCTCCACGAGCACCCCTCCGGATCCCTCCCCCTCCACGAGAATCCCTTTCCCCCTCCATCTTGTCCAACCTCAAGCTCTCCCCCCACCCACGCATAAGAAGGTTGGCCATATGGAGTCATAGTAGATGTTCAAGTATGCCTCTTTTTTACGACACGTCTATTTCTGAACACGGCTGGCTCGACCGCTGCCCACGCGTTTCATGATAAAAAGCCATGTAAGAGCAACAGAGCCTACCAAGTACACAACTTACAGATGACGGATGGCCCATCCTGTTACCACCCGTGCGAAAGAAACGCGACTAAACACGGAATGACAAGGACGCGTAAAGCCTCTCAGCTGATGCCTTCTCTCGAGGGCAATTGGTCCCCCGTCTTTCCCGCCGCAAACCCGCTTTCTCACACAAGCCAGCCCAAGTCAGAGGCCGCAAAAACGGGTCTCGATGATACCCAGCGATAGGCTCTCCGCGAATTCGGTCGCAACCCCCGGTCGCGATTCGCCCATTGCGTGCCCCAGGCAGAAAAGAGGCATGTGAGCAGCGCAACTGAATGCCTTTGTATGTACTTGTTCTCTGTGCAGTCTTTCTCCTCCTCCTCGCCCAGAAGAAAGAGATACGAGTACTACTAAGTACTACGAAGGGGTGTGAGCCTGCGCCAGTGGGAGACGCTGATTGGGCGGGCTATGGGCGTCCAAAGACACACGCTTCTGAAGGAGACGGTCCCACTGCAGCCCAACAGTGTGTCTGACACGTCTGGGCCGACTTTCTTCACTCGCTTCCTCTCGTTGAGTTGAAGAGCGAGCACAGCCGTCCGTCTTTAAGTGCAAGTGTGTGAGGTCGCTTAAGAAAAAACGCGTCATAACCACTTAAGACGCGTCTCCGAACCCTTGTTTACTTTGGGACGCGTCGCCCGCCAATCACGGCGCTGGAGTAGCCACTAGCTCCCGCGCCGCCGCTTTAGTGGCACTTGTATCCACCCGAGGTTCTCTTTGTCCGCTGGAGCGAGAGAGTTAGTGATGGTATCGATTATCATGCAGATGCCACGAAGCCCTAGTAGACGAACGATGAACGACCGCCCGAGCCGAGAGCTGAAGATGGGAAACCAAAACCAACGGTGCATGGAATGGGTCGCGTTCGGTTCCAGCAGTCGACGCCGTCGATCCAAATCCGCATGACGCACGCCAACGTCACTGCAAAGAACGGCCCCATGTCTCTGTCCTGTCTGCCCCTGGTAGCTTCAATTTACTGTGCAGTAGTACGAAGCACTAAACCGCCAGCTTCTTTTCGTGTTCCCTTCTCTCTCTCCTTCAGCATCCTCCATCTTGCCTCCTCCTTGTCTCTCGCCGTTTCCCGCAACGATGATCAAATCAAGATCGTACCACCTCCGGGGCCTCCTTGCTGAGCTGGCAGCAATCAACCTCAAACGCGCTAGGTCGTGATAGTTTGGGCTGCGCATTGCCGGACTATCGTCGAACTACTTCTTCTTCTGAACCGGCATCCCCCCCTGGCGCCGCATTGACTTTTTGACACCAACCTAGCAGGTGACTAGCCTTACGGTTGGCCGGTATGGACTTGGTCCGAGCTGTGAGGATAAGAAAAGACAAGAGTCATTGACTGGAGAAGAGGAAGAGACAGAGAGAGGAAGGCAATTCCATCCTCACTCCCACCTTCGCGCGTCGTCCTTGTTCTTTTCTTGGCCAACTCTGTCTCCTCTCTCCCCCTTGCATGACAGAGAGTGGCCCCCCCTCCCATTCCACCGTTCCAGACCGAAGGTGAAAGACATTCTGCGTGAGAGACACTTTTTTGTTCGTGCCCGCCCTCGTTCCGATGATGCCGAATAACTCGGAGGTTTTACCTTGAGCAAAGAGAGCCGGGGGAATGGAGTTGCTGCTAGTGTCTGCTTCTGGCTGAGACATTGGGAGGGCCCATTTCCCTCTTCTTGGACGTACATGGTCCCTACACGGGCCATGAATATGGTCTCATGCTCTCCCCCTCCCCCTCGGTTAGAACCTCGATTGCTTGTCAAAAACGTGTCCATCTGGAAGCGAGCGAGATGATTACTTTTTCTAACTGAGCATGAACCCATGCTTATATATCGTCCCTTGAAAATAGCGATACTACCGTGATGCCATGTCTCCCAACCGCCATAATCCGATGAGTATGAGTATTCCATCCTTCCGGACCCCAATTCAGCAGGACATTCCGTGCAGTCAGTCCCCTTCGAACAAGCAACTCCCATGTAAGACTTCCACATCCCTTGGACCAGAAAGAAAGGGAAGAAAAAAAAAAGGGACCAACGAAAACCGAATGCAACGCTCTGCTCCTCGCTCCTTTCAGCCCTCATTCCCTGTCCCCGTCTTGAATCTTATGGAAGAATTGAGGTTAGTTGGTCCCCGTAGTGTCATTCAAACCCCTCCCCTGGCCGTCAAGTTCACCGAACATCTGCAATCTCTCTCGCCTCTTTTGCCTACTTTCTTTAACAAAGCTGCATCCTTCAAGCCTTGTCGGTGGAATAGTAGTACAGTACATACGGTAACAAGCGGGAATACTCTCTCGTCTCATCCCCTGCTTTCTGACCCCCCGCCTTCCATCAATCACCAGTGCCGCTGCTGTCATCCGGGTATTCCCCCCTGTCTCCTGCAGACTCTTTCGCCACATGTTACTATTTCTGTACTTGTTCATTTAGAAGGACCAACTCTGTAGTTCGGTTTGATTATGGTGTTGGGTTCGAAAAAACTTCAAGGGACCAGCTGCACGAGAATAAAGGAATACTTGTACGTGCAGCAATAAGGTACTACTAGTACTATGAAAGCAAAGTTGTTTGTTTTCCCAATGGCTTGGTTCGACGAATAAGAAGTATGCCTTCTAAACGCACGGGGAACTTCTAGAGCATCAAAGTATGCAAGGTTTGATTATAAGTACACCGACGACATATCCGACATCCAGTCGTCTTTTCCCAATGCACGATGCAATCTGACACTCATGCGAGTTTGGCTCCGTACAGAAACTGTCGGTGAAAACGCAATGTACGAAATTGTGTGGACGCAGCTCATGATACCACCTATTCTAGAATATTGCTCTCCTCGGCAGTCATCCCCCAATCTCCGTCTTCTTCTTTTCCCCCCGTTCCCTGTTCTCTTCTCCCTTCCTTCTCTAATACAATGCAGGACAAGTCTATTGTCCACAATAACAGCAAAATTCATTTCAATCATCACGACTCATGGAAGAAACCCAGTCGTTAGGTCAGTAGAAGTCTGTAGGTTCTCCCGAAACTCAGCAAGACCAGAAAGGCCACAAACTTCACGACTGTAGCACTTACGCCCTTTCTTTCGTTCCGCATCGGGATAT